ATCGAATCGAAATCGAGCCCCTCTCTGTGTATAACAGTGGTTGCCATAGAGCAGTCGCAATCGTAATTACACGGCATTACCGTTCGGTGCGTATCAGCTTATCCCATAATGGGGATGGCCAAATGGTCAAATGGTGAAATGACCAGTGGCCAGTGGCCAATGGCCCCCCGTGAAGCAGTGTGTAAGCGAAACGGAACAGAAGCCTCTGGGTAGGTCAGCCATTGTCGGGAAGCGGGCTTTAAACACACATGTGGACACGCAGAGCTAAGTCACTACTCACTACACACAATAAATATGCAGTTGAAAAAATATCTAGCTCAGTTCTCAGGTTTAATTGGTATTGAAAGAATTTAGTTTAGCCTAAAAGTATGCAGTGAATAAAGAAAAGTCGCTTTCCTGTATGAATTCATATCAATTTTCAATTAAAAATATACTGTTGCATACTTTTAGACACCTATTATTGGCATATTTAAGTAATTTAAAGTAATTTTTCTCTCTAAAAGCATTTCAAAATTATATAAATTTTCTTTGATTATTTCATTTTATCCATAATAAATTGATACGGATTACGAATGCCATTTCTTTTTTATCGGTGTACCATACACCATATAGCCCTGCACTCGGATGGCACCTTGAATTGTGTTTGCTTTCTGGCCATTTGACTGAAAGGACTCGGCGACACAAAAGTTTGAGGAAAACGGGGCGCAAAACAAAGCCAGGGAAAAAGACGGAAAAGCCGCAGGACCAGTTGGGCCAACAATAACACACACACACACAGAGCGCTTGGCCTTTTTGGCCCTAATGCCCCCGTTAGTGTTTGTGTTACTGTTTCTGTTTCAGTTTCAGTTTCTCTGCCGTACAACGGGGCGTATGGGAAATTATTTTTACAATTTCAATGTCAACATGTTGGGCGAAGGCCGAGTGTGTTGGGGTTCCGTTCCGTCATTGAAAGCCTGGGTTTTGAAGTTAACTAAAAATACATAAGCCCACGTTAGGTTAGAACGCAAAATAAAAAAAGAAAGCATAATAAAAAAAAATACGTATACGCCGCGTGACCACGCTTCAGGTTACGTATACGCAGCGTGTAACGGAAGAGAACTGAACTGGAATGCCAAGGCGTGGCGAAACTTAAATGAAAACAAGGCAAACAAAGCAAGGATGCGAAAAAATGCAAATAGAAAGTTGCCGCAAAATGATTTGCCCCACACGTAGGAGGGATTTGCCAGAGGCGGGGGAAAAAAAGAAAGGGAAGGAAACATGGAACACCATGTCAGTGCCACATTAAAAAATCATTTTCAATAACGCGCTCCACTCCGCCAGGTGGCGCCCAGGTTCACCCAATCTCCATATTTTCCCGACTCCTCCTTCCTTCTGGCAACTCAATTGTTTGCATTTTGCATGCATTGACAGACAGGGCGCACCGGGGACCTGGCCACGCCCACTTCTGCTTTCCTCCTTTCCGCCCCTCCGGATACAGATGTTTTTCATGCGGATGTTAGGCGCTGTCAAACACTCACTTGCCACGCCGCCTTTCTCCTTTTAACTGGATTTGTTTGGCTTGGTCCTCTTCTGCCTCTGCTTCACCTTGTCCCGAAAACTAAACAAGAAAAAGAAACTCGACAAAAGATCGACGAGCCCATGAATAAAGAGCCACAGTTTGCCGCTGTTTAAATTGGATTTGCCATAAATAAACCAAATGTCTCCGGGCCATGGGATTTTCCGCCAAAGCCAAGCCAATAAATCAATGGCGGAAAAATCCAATCCGTATAGCCAATTGGCTAACAATATATATGTATGTATGTAAAGGGCTGGCTGGGCCACGTAACCATTTAACAATTAACCAAAGCGAGCAACTTTTTTCACAGCCCATTAGCGGCCAACAATTTGTTCAATAAGCCAATCCAATTACAAAACAATTTATTCACTTCATTTTTTTTTGCGAACAGTTTATGCAGTTAGTGCAACAATTTAATTGTATTTTGAGTAAGCGCAGTTAGAAATTGCAGAATATTTTAGGTGGAAGTTTAAATCCTTTTTATAAAAACAAATCAGATCAAATAATTTCCAAATTTAACGTAAATATATTCCCAAGAAATTAAACAGAAAATAAATAGTACAAATGGCAATGAGAAACTTGGAAGTAAAATATATATAACAGATTATATATAATAATTACTTATGCTACAGTTATACAAAGGGCAATGATAAACGTGGAAATTGTTCAACGAGCAATTTGATATATATATAACAGTTTATATAACAGTAATATACAATCACTTGTGCTACGCAGAAAAGGAAAAGGACAGGAAAAAAACCAGAATGAATCTGAAGGACGACTGAAACGATAACGATAACCATAACAATATAACCATGGCAAACGACATTCGCCGCTGTCATTAATGTCCGCGTATTGAGACCCCTTCTAATTGCATTGCTCAAGGATTCCCGTGAAGCGTGTGGACAGCAACAATGGCGTTGTGTCCTGTAATCCCATGCGTGTCTCTCTCTCTCTGTGTGTGTGTGTGTGTGTTCAAAACGTAACGGAACAATGGCGAAATGTCAAGTTTAATTGTTTGTCTGTCATTAGCGAACACTCACTCATACACACTCGCATTCACATTCACATTCACCCACAGAAACGATGCAGCGATGCATGGATTTTTTGCTCTCTCTGCTAATTTTATACAATTAAATTTTCCGCTGTGTGTGTGTGTGTGGGTTTAGTGGGTGCTTTAGGGGGCAGGGGGTAGGGGGCATTTTCCTCGAAACAAAAGAATCAAATGCTGTTACAATAACTTGCGCCGCGCTTATTTGCGGCAAACTCTCTCAAGCGAGCCACTTAAACAGCCTCACGCTCGGTTGAATATGTTTTGATTAAGCCAAGTATAACGAACACATTTCAGCCAGGACGACGACGACTACGGCGACGGCGACGAGTCCTGCGAAAGTGAGTCTCACTTTCCACAGCCGACTGGCTACTGGGTGGTTCGTTGGTTGGGTGGCTGAATGGATGGTTGGGCCTTTGGATAGGTGGGCGTGTGTATCCATAAGCCCGGGGCACGTTTATGTACTCCATCGACCGTTTTGGTCAGGCACTGGGCCGTGTGAATGACATGACGTCGTCGGAGGCTCCAGTCCCCTGACCATTTCCATCCCCTCGTGTCTTTATTTTTAAAGTGCCGGAATATTTGGGGGCCTGTGTGGGTGGGTGGGTCCTTGGATGGATCTCTACCATGGTTTATATCGAGTCGCTGGCACGCACGCAACTCCCGAAACAAAACGAAAAAAAAAGAGAGGAGAAAAGAAAACATAACCTGGGGCACAGTGGATCACCTGGGCAACTCGATTCCTGTGGTCCCCTTAACTTTAGAACCTTGATAACTCATCAACTGTTAGAGCAAATCTTATATTTCAGCTGTTATCAAATGTTTTGAATCCACTATTTGAGGTAATTTGGGTACATTTTTCTCTTTTTAAAGGATATTCCGCTTTGATGATAAAGATTTTTTTAAATTATCTCTATTTGAGAAAGCTTTCTTTTAGAAGCTAGATTGAAATACAGTATTAAAATACAGTATTTCAGGTAATTTGTTAGATAGAAACAATATAAAGAGTCTCCTTTTCTCTTTTTTAAAGGAGATTCCGCTTTGATGATCTAGAACCTTTTAAATTATCTCTATTTCGGAACGCTTCCTTTAGAAGCTAGACTGTGGACTTATCCCTACTCCCAACTGTTATATACTCACTGTTATACTGCCAATGCAGTCCAAAGTCCACTGTCCACTGTGCCATTATGGGCTTTATACACTGGCAGCATATGGAATGACCGGCACAGCACAGCACAAGCACAGGCACATCACAAGGCCTTATGCCCAAGACTTGGTTTATTTTCTGTTTGTCCGGAAAGTCCGGCAGTCGAGGGCCTTTGGGGTTTCGGTTTTCAGTTTGACTTGACATGCATCAGCATCATTATTTTGTGCTTTTAATGTTTTATTTAGCCTGGTTGCCGACAGTCATACGCAGTGTGGGCTGGTTAAAAAGGGGAGGTGGGTGGTGGGTGGTGAGTGGGTGCTGTCTACGTGCCGTTTGCACTCATTTCTTGCCGGGCCTCCCCTCTCCCTCTCTCTCTCTCTGCCTCCAGTCCATCCGTCTCTTTTTCACCCACATATGAGGGAACCATTTGCAACCAAGCACTCAAACAACATTTAAAAAGGCCTCATTTTCATGAGCTGTTGTGTGTGTGCCAGGATGACGATGAAGATGGGAATGGGGATCCAGAGGAGTGTGTGCCACTCGGCACATAATTGTTTGAAACAAATGTAGTGCACACACACACACACACACACACACATATGGTTGCACGTGCACCCACACATAGACACAGGGCACCGACACAGACATGTGGGATATTTTATTAGGCCATTCAGTTAGTCAGTCATTTAGTCAGTCAATCAAACCGGGCAGGCAATTAAAGTTTCACTGCCCATTGTCGGAAGCCAAAGGCAACAAGAACAACAGGAACCAGGGCAAAAAGAGGGAAATAAACACATCAAATGGGCTGGCAAACAAGCCCTGGGTTTCAAAGAGGGTATCGGTTGGATGAGAAAAGTGGGATTGGGATTGGATAGGGGTGATTGGAGAATGGGAGCGGCCGCCTGACGAACCTGGGGAAAATCCTTTCAGATAAATGAAATTCCCCAGAATCGCCCTCGCAATGAGAACTTGATTAATAATGAATTGAACGGCAGCCGGAATTTAAAATCTATCCCACTAACGGGTTGGCTGGAACTAAATAGAATTGTTACATAAGCCATCTGGTTTAGTGGTGAGCTATGTACTACAGATGAATAACTAGTTGCATTCAACTTTATTCAGTATATCTGACTAAATGTTAGCGAAAATAAAAAACTGTTATACACACTGTTATACAAACTGTTATACAAACTGTTATACCCTTGTAAATTGTTTAAAACTCATGCATTTTTGTCCTTTTTTTCCAGGCCTATCCCAATCGAGACATTACGAACATTGTCGAGTCATCCCACTACCAGAAGATCGGCGGCTGGTGTCGTCAGGGTGCTCTAAATGCGGCCAAGTGCAAGGGCTCCCACCGCTGGATCAAGCCATTCCGCTGTCTCGGTGAGTATACTGAAATAGAACGAACGATAGACTCAACTCGAAAAGGACCAACCAACTGATCCGCTTTCCCTGTGCCTCATCTCCAACCAATCAAACGAACAAACCAACCAACCAACCAACCAACCAACCAACCATCCGTCCATCAATCATTCACCACTCGACGACGTTTGGCTTCAGAAGGACCATTCCAATCGGACGCCCTGCTGGTTCCCGAGGGCTGCCTCTTCGATCACATCCACAACGCCTCACGCTGCTGGCCCTTCGTGAGGTGGAACCAAACCGGAGCGGCCGCTTGCCAGGAGCGCGGAATGCAGATGCGCAGCTTCGCCATGCTCCTGCCCTGCGGCATCTCGGTCTTCTCCGGCGTGGAGTTCGTCTGCTGTCCCAAGCACTTCAAGAGTGAGTACTGAGTACTGGGTCAAAAAAAAATAAAATAAAAAAAAAAATAAAATAAAAAAATAAATAAAAAAATAAAAAAAAAATTGGATATTCCGCAAATCCAATGAGCACGCTTCTTTTTCTTTTTCCGCAATCCCCTTCAATTACGTTGACACATTGGACTACCTTTTTTTCCCTACACAGCCATTAGTTACTTACACCCTGTGGTTAGGAAATATTAATTATTTAAAACACAAATCAAATGTGCACAGAACAAACAAATGTGCCATTACTCACTCTTTCATTGGACATTAAGCGAATCAGTTATGCATTTATTTATTCAGTTTGCTTGAATTTGGTTTCTCATTCTACAATTAAAGTTTGGGTTTCGTTGATAACTTTATGGGAATTTCCCCCTCAATTAGACACCTTTTATGCTATTGATGTGAAATTTATAATTTATGATTCCATCACTTCCCCCTCTTAGCTGATGAAATCCATGTGAAAAAGACCGACCTGCCGGTGATGCCACCAGCCCAGATCACCAGTGCCAACGACGAACTGATGGTGAATGACGAGGACGATAGCAATGACTCGAATTACTCAAAGGATGCCAATGACGACGAGCTGGACGATGAGGATGATCTGATGGGCGATGATGAGGAGGACGAGATGGTGGCGGATGAGGCAGCTGCCGGGGGAGGAAGTCCCAGCACCGGATCGACTGGCGATGCAAATAGCGGATCTCTGGATGATATAAATGCGGAATACGATAGCGGCGAGGAGGGTGACAACTACGAGGAGGATGGAGCTGGTTCCGAGGGCGAAGCCGAGGGTGAGACCTCCTGGGATCAGAGCGGAGGATCTAAGGTGGTGACCCTAAAGAGTGGTGCCTCCGCCTCGGTGCCGTCTAGTGGTCCGGTTTCAGTTTCTGCCTCATCTGAAAAGACGCCCGCAAAATCCTCTGATTTGGTCACGAGCACTCCTCAGCTTTCCGCCGCCGCCGCCGCAGCCGCCGCAGCTGCTGCAGCATCTGTGAACTCTGGAAACTCGGGAGTAGGATCTTCTAACGGAGGAGGAGGAGCCCCACCATCCACCGCACAGCCCACCTCGGACCCATACTTCACCCACTTTGATCCGCACTATGAGCACCAGAGCTACAAAGTAAGTCAGAAAGTAAGTGTTTACGTTGAGGGCGCAGGTTTATTTATCGATGCAACACAAAACGTATTCTAAACAAAGGAAGCCCAACAGCGCCTTGAGGAATCGCATCGCGAGAAGGTCACGCGCGTGATGAAGGACTGGTCGGATCTGGAGGAGAAGTACCAGGATATGCGCTTGGCGGACCCCAAGGCAGCCCAATCCTTTAAGCAGCGGATGACGGCTCGCTTCCAGGTTAGTCATCCTTTGTGTGTGACGCACTCATTTCCGATATTCCACATCCCGAAACCCTATCTCTCTCTCTCTCTGTCTCACTGTCTCTACTCATCACTCTGTCTCTGTCTCGCACCGAAACCCCTATCTCTGTCTGTCTCCCTCTGACTGCCTGCCACCTATCCTCTAGAATATGTGAACCATTTAAAAGCTATGTCTCTGCATCTGAATGTGTGTGTATGTCTGCGTCTATATCGGGTTATTCAGTTGGCAAGGGATTAATTGATTAAGGATCATAACAAATGATATAGAAATCCGTTTAAGCTTGCCACCTGAAGCTACCTCATAACCAGTATTCCATCCATCTGTATAATCGTCATAGTCGTTTATCATTTCAATTAGTTCCCTTGAGTTCCCATCTGAAACCCCTTACCATGCACACCCTGTATATCGTAATCGTAATTGTTTCCTACTCTAACCGTAATCGTAGCTCATTATGTTGCGCTCATTGTATCGCCTGCTTTTCTTTTGCTGCACTTCGAGGTCCAGAGATTGGTTCTACTACCCATCTTAGGGTTATACCACCCATCCATATCTCTGGGCATCGTTGGGCTGTCTTCTTGTTTATTTGTGTATCCATATGTATGGCAAATGGGAGCGAAAGAGGCATCAGATTGTAATCACAACAGCAAATAACAATAACAATACCAGTAACAATAACGATAATGCTGCTCGTAATCTAACCAGTTAACGAAGTACCGCTACAGGAACGAAACAATAGATCCAATTACCCATATTACTAACTAACATCCAAAGTGCTTTGTAGTTGAACTGATTGGCATTTTAAACTAACTATAATCCGCCTATACCTAAACCTACACGTAAACCTAAACCTATGCTTTATTTCGAAACCAAACGATCCACGAAACGAACTAAAAAACGAGAACGAACACAAACGTATATGGATACGGAAACCCAACACCTGATATCCCGACTTTGGTCCTCATCGATGTGTATTGCTCGCATTGTAGACCTGTATATGCTGCTTAAGTAACTGCTGTGCTTCCGCCAGGAATGAACTGCATCCATGTATATATTACCATATACCATACAGACCCAATTCGACCCCATGGACAGAAACATTTCAAATCCCACCAGTTTTGCACCGCATCAGTGGCTCGCACTGTATCTCTGTATCTCTCTCGCTCATTCTCGCTCCATCTCGATCCCCCATGGCAGCACTAACAAATAATATAAATTGCGAGAAGCTCTTTAGTCCCATAACTCTGGACAAACCACGCGACACGTTCCCAATCCCCACCCAAAACAACATTTCAACCACAAACAAAATACGTACAAAATCGAGGCAATTTTTTTCGAAAATTTAAATGAAAAGAGAATAATTGAAATACCGATAGACCAATACCGATCGACAGCTGCATATTGTTATCGATCGAAGCAAATTCCCCATGCTGATAATCTTTCTCTCTTGGTGTGCAATACGTCTTTATATGGGAATGTAATTTTAGACTTCTGTTCAGGCACTCGAGGAAGAAGGCAACGCCGAGAAGCACCAGCTGGCCGCCATGCACCAGCAGCGCGTTTTGGCCCACATCAACCAGCGGAAGCGGGAGGCCATGACCTGCTACACCCAGGCCCTCACCGAACAGCCCCCGAACGTGAGTAGTTCTCCCAACGAGAGGTATCCTCAATGGGATAAGACCGGTCGTGGTGTGGGATCGATATTAAATGTATAAATTAGTAGCTAGAATTGATTAAAACGAAAAAGAAAAGAACCTTGAACTAGGGGATTTTAGACGCGGTTTATATTAGCACTAAACGTAAGTCCACCCGGGGGCGCCAAATGTCACATCACTTGAAAGGGTTTTTAAGTTTTAATAGAAGGGCTCTTTCAAAGGAAAACGTTTGCTAATGCTCCCAATCTCATCTAGGCCCACCATGTTGAGAAGTGCCTGCAAAAGTTGCTGCGCGCCCTGCACAAGGACCGTGCCCATGCTCTGGCCCACTACCGCCACCTGTTGAACTCTGGAGGACCCGGTGGCCTGGAGGCGGCTGCCTCGGAGCGACCACGCACTCTGGAGCGCCTGATCGACATCGATCGTGCTGTCAATCAGTCGATGACCATGCTCAAGCGCTACCCGGAGCTATCGGCCAAGATTGCCCAGCTGATGAACGATTATATTTTGGCATTGCGCAGCAAGGACGACATTCCCGGCTCGTCGCTGGGCATGAGCGAGGAGGCGGAGGCCGGCATTCTGGACAAGTACCGCATCGAGATCGAGCGCAAGGTGGCCGAGAAGGAGCGACTCCGGCTGGCCGAAAAGCAGCGCAAGGAGCAGCGGGCCGCCGAGCGGGAGAAATTGCGCGAGGAGAAGCTGCGTATGGAGGCCAAGAAGGTGGACGACATGCTCAAGTCGCAGGCGGCCGAACAGCAGCAGCAATCGCAGCAGCAGCAGCAGCAGTCCAATGCCCAGTCGTCGACCCAATCGCAGGCGCAACAGCAGCAGCAGGAGAAGAGCCTCAGCAGCAAGGAGCTGGGTCTCGATGGCGGATTGGTCACAGCGGCCAATCTTAACTTGGACACCACCAAGAGCGAGAAGGAGCTGTCGGATACCGAGTACGCCGAGGCAACAGTAAGGTGGGTATCTCTATACCAAAGTTTTTGAATAACTATAACTAATACTATCCCCTCTGTAGCAGCACCAAGGTGCAGACCGTGCTGCCAACGGTCGACGATGATGCCGTCCAGCGGGCGGTGGAGGATGTGGCCGCTGCCGTTGCTCACCAGGAGGCCGAGCCGCAGGTGCAGCACTTCATGACCCACGATCTGGGCCACCGCGAATCGGTATTTGAGCTGCGGCGCCAACTCGTACCGCATTTGCCTAAAGCCTATCCCCTCTCTCTCTCTCCCCTCTCGTTGCAGAGCTTCTCGCTGCGTCGCGAGTTCGCGCAGCATGCGCACGCGGCCAAGGAGGGCCGCAATGTCTACTTCACGCTCTCCTTCGCCGGCATCGCCCTCATGGCGGCCGTCTTTGTGGGCGTGGCCGTGGCCAAATGGCGGACATCGCGCTCGCCGCACGCCCAGGGCTTCATTGAGGTCGATCAGGTGGGTGGGGGGTTGGGATATGGAGTGCGGAGATCACCATATAACAGTGAAAAGTTTATGTATAACAGTTTTATAACAGTTGTATAACAGTTGTATAACAGTTGTATAACAGTAGGTGAATAACAATGGTGAACTACAAATGAAGGCAAAGCGACTACATTGATTAATTTTAGCCCACGATATATGTATAACAGTTTTATAGCTGTGGTTTAACCCAGTAATATTGTCCAGAAGGATGGTCAATTTCATAGGATAAAACATATTGTAACTCCACTTAATTGTTTCCCTATCCAATTGTGTATAACAGTTAGTCTTGGCTTGGTACATGAGCTTGAAGTTGTATAACAGTAGTTGATAATACAAAACTGCCTTCAATTGTGGTGTATGACAAATGAAGGGTTTGGTAATCTCTTGCTCCGTATCCAACACACATAGGATAAATCTTTAAAAAAAAATACTAATCCAATTCTATCCCAAACTAGAACGTGACCACACACCATCCCATCGTCCAGGAGGAGAAGATCGTGCCCAACATGCAGATCAATGGGTACGAGAATCCGACCTACAAATATTTCGAAGTGAAAGAGTAAGCGGGACGGCAAGAGGAGCGCGGCTGGCTAGAGCGAGAGCGAGAACGAGAACGCCGAGCGAGCGAGAGGCACACATCAACAGCAAAAGCAGAAGAAACAGCAGCAGCAGCAACCACAATTTCAAAATGAAGAAACTTAAGCATAATATTAAAAAGCAGATGGGAAGAGAAATGATTTTTTTTTTCGTCAAAAAAGGAGCGCAGTTCCAATAAGGAGAAACGAGGGGTAGAAGAAGAAAGATAAATTCAATGAATGGTAATATATCTATATATTAAATTAAAGCAAGCAAGCAGAAAGGCAAGAATATAAAGCAAGCAATTAAATTTAAGTATTTGAATGTTTAACAAAATGCAGTAAACATCCTTTCTAGCTCTCTATCTCTCTCTCTCTCTCGGTCTTACTCAACCACTCTGTCCCTTTCCCACACACACACATAACTCATTACATTCCCACTTTGTGGTTCTTGTTGGGCGCCAAATAAAAAGAGAGCAAAAGAACTAATAGCCAAAGAGGCAAGCGAAAATCCGTGCAAAGGAAAGTCGGATAAAAAGATTGAAAGTAAAAGCATAAAGCCAAGGACAAGAATCACACACACCCACACACAAAAGGAAAGGAGGAGCAGGCGGAGGAGGTGGAGAAAGAAAAGAGAGCAGAAGAAAAGCAAATGCAAAACAAAAGATATTCCTAGTAAATAAATTGTCAGCACACAGACACACATTCACATACACCGACTCACTCATAGATACAGGAACAGTCACACACACACACACACAACCACACACGCATTCATGGCTGCTTCGTAGCATACTTTTGAGCGTTTCGTGGCGTTGAAATGCTTGCAAGCCGATCGCAATTCTTACCGACAAAAAAACTTACGCCATTAATTAGAGCCGCGCTAAAAGCTAAAAGAAGATGAAAGCTGAAACACAGATACACACACTCACACTGAGACACACATGTGAACCTAAGAGCTACCTACGCGTACTAATCTCTATACGAACATGCATATGCGCTTATGTATATGTCTAACTCTCTCTCTAAACCACACTCACACTCACACACACACACGAAAACACCCAGACAAACGCAAAGAAAGCAACTGCAAAAACCCAACAAATTATATATACACATATATATATATATATACAATATATTTAAAGCAAAGCAAGAAGAAATGTCCATAAATGTATTTATGTATCTATACACGAGCCACACAACCCAAAAAGGTCGAAGGTCAGCCAGCTAAGGGGAGCAGGAGAATTACGATGCTTGGCAGGCTATGAAATTAATATATGAATCAGCTACGTAAACAGAAACAATGCAAAACGCTAAGCTAATTGCAGAGAAGAAACAGAAACCGAAACCGAATGAAAAACAAAAAAACGAAAAGCGAAAAACTTTTAGAACTTTTTCTGCATATTTTGTGTGTAAGTCGGTGGCAAAAAAACAAAAAACAAGAAAAACAAAAAAGCAAAAATGTTTTTTCTCTTTTTTACGTTACATGTTTCACTCAAAGGCCAGCACAAAACACCCACACCCCCTCAAAACACACACACCACACACACACACACACGGAAAAGAGCCCTTGAGAAGTCGTTGCATTTCATATCAAAAGCTTCGCAACTGTTTGCATAATTGCCTTAGAGCCAAATGCCGGTGAAATCAAATCTGATAAGCGGGTCCCCCAAATGGAGGTGGAATCGGAAAGAATCCGGGGAGCTCGGCGACGGACGGAATCCGGAGACGGCACCTAGAGTGGACGCCTCCAAAGAGCCGGAGTGTCCCAAAGATAAACCGTTTCGAAACGGCTAGTTTCATTTCTCGGCTCGATTGCTTGGCAAATATTTGGCCTGCTTTGTTCGAGCAGCGAGATACTGTTACTCAATCAAGCCAAATAATCGAAATGCTTTCGCCCATGCCGCAAATACGACGATTGGTTGCCCTTTTTAGTTCAATTTCCATTTGATATACAACTAAATTCAAGCCAACGTTGAAATTCAGTTGACAATGAAGTGAATATCTAAGAAAAAAATGTAATTGAAACTAAAGTTGAACTAAAATTGAAATTGACCTGAAATTGAACTGAAATTGAAAAAGAAAATCAGTTTTTTAATGATCTTAAAATAAATAATAAGGTTAAAATTGAAGCTTAAATGAAATCTAAAAGTTGAAGCTAATATTGAAGTAAAATATTGAAACTTAAACTATTCTGAAATATAAGCCAGCATTTTAGGTATCTCATGTGTTAATTGATATTGAACTAAAATTGAAACAAGAGCCACAGCTTGAAAATAGAGATTGAAAATACAGTTGCATTGAGTAATTCGAAAATTAAATCGGAAATTGAGATTCTGAATGAGATTTAAAAGGAGAATGAACCCACAATTGAAACTGCAATTTAAATTTGGCAACTGGGTTTGAATTGAAACTGGTATTGAAGTTGTAATTGAAAGTGATTGGAAACTACTGCGATTGAAAATTACTTTCGATCTGACTTGGGAAAATACAAGAAACAGAACTGGAAACTGAGATTAGAACACTAACATAAATTAAAATCAAAATAAGTGCTGTAAATTAGGCAGAAATTGAAATGCAAATTCAAAAGTCACCTGAGAGTGATACTAAAATTGAAGCTGAACGAAACTGGCAATGAAATTGTAATCGTAAGTGAAACAAACTTTGCAATTAAAGCTGATGTAAGACAGTAATGGAAATCAAACTGATATGGGAATTTTAGTTAAGATCTTAATTAAATTGCTTTAATCATGGATTACTGGCAAGATAAGTTTTAAATATTATTTCCATATCAAAAACAATATCCACTTTAAATTCAAAGTCGGTTTCAATTAGGATTACAAATTCGTATTCACTTTCTGAGCATCAAAAATAGTGACGCTTTCAATTTTGAATTCGATTTCAATTTCTCCTACAATTGAAACGTTTATTAAGGCATTAATTTCTCGAATGTTTAAATACAGTTTCCAGCTCAGTTTGAGTTTCTACTTTGAATTGAATTAGAGTTTTGCAATCAGCTTCAATTCAAATTTTATTTTATCAATCACATTTTCAAGTTGAGCTCTTGTTTCAAAGTTTAAAATTAATTTGAAATGATATGCAATTTTTCAACTTTTAGATATACAAGTACTAATTCTCCAAATCTTTTCAACAAGTTGTTTAACCTTTATCTTCCTTCTTCAAGGCAAACTCACGGCTCTTTCTCACAAAGACACACACACACAGACAAAAACAGACACATTATATAATGCTAAATGTATTACAACAATATATATACATCAATATATATATATATACAAACACATATATATTTCAACAGAAACAAACAAAAAGGCAAATCAACTACACAAAAAGTAAATAAGAAGAAAATCTAACTAGTCAAAGCTTGAATATTTTTTAATTTATTCATTAATACAACAAGAACAACAACAAGAAAAAAATGAAAAAGTATACATATATATATAAAAACAACAAAAAAAGAAAAAAACAATTGATATTTACACTTAGTGAAGCAAAAAACAAAACCAAAAACAAAAAAAGCGGAAAGTAAAAGCGAAAAAAAAAAACAAAAAACAAAAATGATGCAAATGTGTAAGAAATAAACCCCGTCCTGCATAAATAAAATTAAATAAAAGAATAAAATAAATGGAAACGTAAAGAATATCATAAAACAAACAAAAACAAAAAAGATTTACACAAAGATTAAATGCAAAACAAACAAAGAAAAAACGTGGAAGCAACAACAAGAAAAAATTATAATGAAAATCGCATGTGTTTTTGTCGTAGTCTCATCATTGAAACAAAAAAAAAACAAAACAAATTAAAAACAAAAACAAAAAACAAGTAAATTGTAACGTGAGAAAAGCAGCAAATAAGAGCAAAAAATTTGTGTAATTCTTTTTGTCGAACTATGATTTTTGGCCGAGCGGAGAAACTCAGTTGGAGAAAAAAGTATAAGAAAATTTAAATATTAAATGTACTCAAAGACAATTGTAATTGCAACAATAATTGTACGCTATATATACTATTATTAATGTGGAAAAGATTTCAGCATTCGGTCCTGGCCGTTGACCCCCGATCTTTGATCTTTGATCTTCAATCGATTATCTTCGATTCGCGTCGGCGATCTATCCGGATCGATATATATCGATATGTCGGGCATTATTACACTATAGCCCCGGGGCGTGGGACCCAGGAAAAGCCAGGAAAATTGTATAATGTTTCACACAACAAACAAAAAGCCCATTGATGGAAAACCAAACATAAAACATAAGAATGCAAAGGAAACAAACAACAACAACAACAAAACAACAACAAAGAAAACAAAACCAAAAAAAAACAATTTTCAATGTATAATCATATAATTTGATTTTGAATTTTTGTGTTCTTTTTCGAAATATTTTGCATAAATAAAATAAAATAACAGAAAAACAAACCATTAAACGCGTGAATCCAATTTTATTATAACTAGTTGTTGTTGCCACATCCCCAAGATAACCCCAAGATTATTTTGATTTATTTCACCCGATCGATCATATATTTCACCGATAACCCGATCGAACCTAATCAAATTCCCTGCTTTTATTTTGGATTAGCATCGATAAAAAGGGGTCAGTTGAAAGCAGATGGAACGGATCGGTTCCAGCTTTGGTTAATGGAAAAAAAATGATCTTATATATAGTATTTTAAAAAGCAGTTATTGGATATATTTTGTAAGGTGATAGTCAAATCAAAGTAAGTACTTAATCCTAAAGCCAATAGGAAAAATAATACTTGATATTCAATAATAATATGCAATCCAACCCACAATTTCCCAAACCTATTGCTTTCTAAACCCCTAAATCCACTCGAAGATAGCCAAAACCTCGTGCCAGAGAGTCTGGCTGGCCAATAAGTCCAAGAATAGATAGATATATAGAACCTCGGCACCTAAGAACACACCATCCACTTAATGAGTTTGACTTCTAAGCGGGGGCTGGGGTTACATTCATTACACCCGGGGGCATACATATGTGTGCGCGCTCATTATGAGTTTCAACTTCGAGTGCGCCAACAAGCCTTTACAATAAATCACTTGAAAAGGTATATGTGAAATCAATGTAAAGCACTTCAGTCTATCAAGTGTCCGGAGCATGAAAATTGACGTACATTTTGATATATGGGGCGGGCAGGAGAGCTGCTTCAGCTTCTGCTGACTCGATTTGGTTTGCTTTGGCTTTGCTTTTGGTTTGCTTTTGGTTCGCTCGCATTTAATGGAGCACCGCATTTTTGATCGATGTGGAACTCCGTGAATGTGGAGCACGGACAACGGACAACGGGCAACGGACAAACGGACAAAACGGGTAGATAGATAGTGATCTTCTTTAAAATGTGTAGGGGGGCTTTGTTATTGCCCTGCCAGCATTGTGAAACTTTCCAAAGTGCATTCTGCATTCTCAAGAGTGCCCCTTGACTGTCCGTTTGTCCATTTGTCCGTGTGTCCGTTTGTCCGCTACATGACAAATGACAAACAACACACTTGCCGGGCGTGCAGTTCCTCTATCGGAACAATGTTACACCCAAGTAGATAGAGGTATAGCGCAGATAGAGCGACAGACAACTTTGAAATGCACTTGAGCGTATTGGGAACTCGAGAACATGTGCGTTTCTGTATTTCTTTTTTTGTTTTTTTTTGCAGCAGAAGGAACTTAAGTGGGGAGGTCTCCAAAAGCTCCACTCTAATTTCCCTGTTTTGCACTTGGACATATTGATCAACCAAGGACGCATCGGGTTATCTTTTGAATAAGAGGTGGAAGTTACCTCTTTAAAGTTGGTTTAGTAACAGAGTTACTAGATTCTTTTAATAGTTATATTTTCTATTGTATTAATAGAAATCACTAGGTAAAGTAACCACCGCCCATTGAGTTTCCTCAGCTTGGTTAAGAGATCACTCGATCAAACCCCCCATAAAGTCCATTGAATGGGGCTCTTAAGAAGTAATCTTCAAATGGTTCGTATCTTTCCGAGATCTCCCGAGTACCACTCTCATTACGGTTGTCATTCTGTCTGGTCCCCTTGAAGTGACAAGATGTCAGCACTGGGATACGGAGACTGATTAGCACTGGTACAGCTCCTGAGATCGCTGGAAAAATTAGGGGGCGGTCGTCGATGGGGCCCCGATTCGAGAGAGAGAGAGAGAGTGCAATAGATAAGGGTATAAACAAAATGCTAGCGGTCCAACCACCGAATGGGTGCGACAGGGACAAACAGACTGACAACCGGCGGCAGTCCGCCCCACTTGGGGTGTTCAGTTCTTCTAGGTGATATTGTGTATTGATGTAGTGGTAGACCTGGCCCCCACTGATAAGGCGGTGCAAACGGTAGCCCGCTCTCCCATCTGATAAGAATCGAATACCGAATGGAAGCCAAACATGTTGCTACAACATTCAAATCGGGCTGATTAGCCAGCATATCGGGAGCTGTAATGTATGGCTCTTCATACCTCATATGTAGGTTGTAGGCACGTATTATCACGACTACCATATCACCACCAACTCTGATATCGCCCCGATCCGTACCCGTGTGCAAACAAAAACAAAACGAAAATAAAACGGGAGTTTTATGGGGGCCCAACAACTCCCGATCGAACAGCGATATTGTTTGTCAATAAACATACGCGCCACATAATCACCCATCATAATAATAATAATAACGCCGGGGGACTTATTATTATTATTATTATTTTATTACTCCGTTTTTTAGCTCGCGAGTTGGGAGTTTTGGCCCCTTACCTTGGTAAGGGTGCTACCGAAACATCAAGTGGCAATCTTACAAGCGCCCATTAAGATATTTATCGGCCACCACTCGACAAATTTATTCACTAGCCTTTGCTGATGGATTGGATCGCCGGTTCCGTGGTGTCTTGTGGGCAAAGTGTCCGATTGAGTGCTGCCAATATATATATACCTTTATATATACATTTAGCCACCCAGTGGGGTCTGAGACTCTAACGGACAGTTTTGGCGGACAAGCGGACAGGTTGCGGTCAGATAACGACGGGGATTAAGTGGTGATTTAGTATATATTTTCCTCAATAGCAGGGATTATTCTTTATGGGTGAAAGCGATATTGCACGGTAAATAAACGACCAGTGGGGTGCTCTCTATAACGGACAGCAATAACGGACAAGTGGTTAGATAACTATATAGTGAGAAATAAACAAGCAAGAATTTCCGGAAAATTAAAAGGGAATCGTTGAACGATCACCAAGTTTGATTTCAAATCAAGGTGATCTATATTTAAATGTATCATATTTGTACCTTAACTGGAAAAGGATTTCAATCGATTTGGCACCACTGTGCAGCAGCAGCAGCAGCAGCCACAAATCGGTTCAGACCCAGTAAAACTGAGGGGCAGAAGAACAAATATAAGCAAAAAGCCCGATTTGGGGCGTTGCGAGTATCTCCCGGTTGGAATATATCTCTTCGGGCCAGTTAAGTGCATGTGTGGAGATATATATGTATGACTATATGTATATATCATGTTGGATGGGGAAGGTGAAGGGGAAGAGGGGGGTCCGGCAGCGATAACTGCAGCTACACACCTACGGGGACAGCTTTATCGATACTCTTGTGTACACTTATTGATATTTGTTCAACTCGGAATCGGCTGCCTTCGGTGCTCTCCTGTGCACTGCGTGTGTTTTGTTTAATACCTATTTGACTTTAATAAGTGATTGTTGTACCGTTTAAAGTGTCCCTCGTTGCGCCACTCGATTCTCTGTGCTTCAATTCTCGGTTTTCACTGATTCCGATTCTTTGACATTTCTCATCGGGATCATCGGGTGTCGGTGGTTTCGTCCAGATTTACCGGTCCGGTTTATTCCATTGGCAGTACGCCAGCGCCAGTTGGCAAATTTCGACGTGGAGCCGCTAAAACCACTCGATCGCAGCGATATCGCGGCTGCCAGAGCGAGAAGGCCTGAGTGTACGAGAGCAAGCGAGATAAAACCACATACGGACGCTCTCTTTTAACGGACAGATTGCTATTTTCTCTGGTTGTACTATTATTTAGCCGACGACGTTTTTATGGCTTATTGAAATCGGCCAACGGCAGTCAAAAAGCGCGCGCTACGCCTGCCACAACAACCGGGGGATTCGATCCGGCTTCTATATCTACTATATATCGGAAAATGTAGCTATCGATCGAGTGCAGTAGTTGACTAGTAATATACCGATAAATCACGCAGTGTGCATACACATCAATTAAAAAGTGATCGCGCATTAAAAACCAATTCGAGTGCAAATAATTCGTTAACAAATAGTTCATTAAATAATTCATTAAATGTGAACCAATCGTAATCCAACTAAACAACCACCCCCGGTCCTTTAGTAATTTGTAGTAACATTTTTTTTCTGTTCTGCTCAGTTTCTGTTACCGTTACTGTTACTCTTTGGTTGCCAATTTTTCCACGATTTTCCCCGACGGTTCAGATTTTGCGCACGCGAGAGCCTTAATTATGAGCAATTATAATCCGAATTGCGGTTACTTCGAGGATTGCAGCTATTACACGAACAACGTGTACCAACAGGATTATTGCATGCAGCCGGATTACGAGTACAACAAGCATGTCTACGAGTAAGTACAGCCCAAAGTCACGGCCCGAATTCGGGTACTCGGAATGCGGAATGCAGAACTCAGAACTGAGAACTCAAAACTCAGAAAATCCGAAATCACAAATCGGAAAATCAGCCGACGGCAAAGTCACTCAACTGTCAGAATAATAATGTTGTGAAAGGGTAAAGAGGGCGGTGGAAAATGGGTTGAAAAGGAAACCAATTTAGGGAAAATCAACTTTTAGTTGGTACAATTTATAGTGTAGAAAATGTAAGGATTTAAAAAAATATGCATATTTAAGGACGTATTGTATAAAAAATAATGAAAACCAAATTTCATACATATCCTAAAAAAGACTTTGAAAAAAATGCCTTTTAAATAAAATGTAGAAATATTTATAATAAAGTAACATGCTTAAGAGCTCCACTAATCGTAGAACTTTATTAGAAGTGGCTCTCTAGAGACAAGATTTAACAAGCATTAAATTTTCCACCCTTCTGAGATCACTCGAGGAACATTCATTCATGAACCCGTTATCAGTCAATTGATCACAGACTTTTTTTTTGGGACTTCAAGTACATGGTCAAGTTATGAATCTGTCGTTCACAGTTCACAATCTCTCTTTCATTCACAATCGTCAGACTTGAATGGTAGCATGAGATGGCAAATACAAGGCGGGGCGAAAGGGGGTGCTATATTTATTATACGTTTATTACCATTAAATCTATTTAGATTTTATTTTAATTACTTTACAAAAGGGAACCCAGGAGTTTAAAAACTCATTAAATCTAATGCTGGATCTTTAAAAACCTCAAATCGCAGAGATCACAATGATCCACAACTGAATCCTCGTTCAGAGGATTGCAGATTGCAGGTACCCATGCAAAGGCACCTGCAAAGAAGTGTCACAATATTTCCTGGAAATCGATGAGGCAATTAAAAACAATTTGATTTAAAATCAGCTAAGAAAACACAAAAACCGGGCTAAGAAAACACCGACTGGCAGGGAAAATTGGGTAAGAGAAAGGAGGCTGAGGCAGGGGCAGAGGATCAAGGCACATCGTATTAACATTTAATGGCATAACATAATGAAATTGTATTGGCTACCGAACCGGATCGAAACGAGGTCCGTTCTTGGGCTAAGTCCCCTGATTTTCGCACACTCCTAAGCCAATGTTACGGCATTGTGAATGGTGTGGTATGGTATGGTATGGGGATTCATCATCCACTGGCAGACTGACTGGTCGACTGATCGGTAAGCCGAGGCAAAAAGGTGTCGGAATAACAGTACAATATATATGGTATACGGTATGCTATATGCTATATGCCATACCATATACCATATAGACCCGAGTTCAACCAACAATGCGCATTATTTCCACTTTGTCACCTTTCCCGACGGCGGCGGGGTTTTTGAAAAACCAAAACACATGTTTAGTGAAATCGCCTGGAAAATCACACAAACAGCAAAGGCGACTGCAACTGCGACAGGCAAAAATTTGGGTTTAATTGGGTTTGTCCATAATCGTTGCATCGAACCCTCGGATAATCCGGGATAATGCTGTTTGCCAAATAAAACCAATTCCATTTATATTGTGCTTTATGTCATGAGGTGTGTGCGAAGATCTCGGTGGTAGTAGTAGCCTGAGTTCATTGATGGATCGCAGGATCTTGAGCTAGAATAGCCAGTGCTTTGTACCGATTTCAATCTCGGAATTTCCGTGCGACAGCACAGCAGTTGTTGCTCCATATGGCAGGTTGGGTTTTTTTCCGTTTCGTTGCTCTTCGAAAACCCCTTCTTTTTTTCCTCTGGAGTGGGCGAAACTTGAAGGACAACGGAACGCGGACACGCTACACTTGTCTCACTGAAATATGAAGTTCGAAAAAATAATTTCATTTGAACGCAGAGTCCCCAACGCAAGTCACTCAAGTTGAACGTACTCCAGAACCAAGAACCCAAAAAAATAAAATAAAATGTATATAAAAAACTACAAAAAGAGAAAAAAAAAAAGAAGCCAAAAGCTTCAAATGCCTGGGAATGTGTGCACATGTCCGCGACGACGACCGATGAGCCAGGAAGTAAACAAAGCCCGAACCCACAGGAAAAAATTCAAACAATTCGTAGGGGACACATATCCGAATTGGGAATCTCCTGCCTTGGCTTAAATGTATTCTCTTTTATTATAAGGTTTTTCATTCCGAGATCCCTTATATGTTTTTTATATTAAACATATATTTTACTTTGTAGAGATTTTAAAATATTTTTCTTAAGCACTTAATAGTCGTCTATACTCTAAGGGGATTCCTACAAATGCGTTCAATTTGCGACCCTCTCTTTGCGATAATTTGTGTTTATGCCTTTTCTACATTTTTTCGATTTGTGTTCCTCAAATATTAACGCCAAGTCCTGGCAGAGTACCAGGGTTGTCACACCATCAAAATAATAATAAATTCTTAATATGCTAATCAACAAGGTTTTATAATAAGGAATTAATTAATAAATCATAATGAATGCTCTAATTCAAAATTTACTTTGCAATTGTAATTATTGAATTTCAAAATAATTAAGTAGGTATTTATTGGTTCTTTTTACATACAAAATATAATTTGTATACATCAGCTTGAAGAAAATCTGAAATATTAAATTAAAATATCAATAAGTATAGATTAAACATATTTGTTAGACCTAAGAAAGTGAATAAAATAAAAAAAAGCTATTGCAACACTTTAACTTTGATTCTATTCTTCTTTCGAATGCTCGACCACTCTGGCTTGTTGGTTTCCATGTCTTCGCTCAGGAAACTGTCACCCGCCAAATGAAAGGAAAGTTTTTCACCTTTTTTCGCTTAAACGGCGCTGTCAAAGCGACGGCCACTTGCCAAGAAAATCCGGGGGAAAATCGGGGATGGGTAGGTGCTGGAATAAGTGGGAGTTGGAAAAGTAATAAATGTGGGAGTTCGGGGTTTGAACAAAGAGTGGCTGTCTCTGCATGTCAGCCCCATTGTCAGGAAAAGCTAAGGAAAAGCCGAAAAAACAACGGCTAGAAATTGATACATTTCATACAATTTCTGTTGCAGTTGCAGTTGCAGTTTCAGTTTGCCGGTGGACTTGCCGCGTGACTTTGTGACATTTAATGCCAGTTTGTCAGCCGGTTTTGTCAACGGCATCGCATGCACTATACTTATATGTAGGCTATATATGGATGCGAAAATAACACAATGAAATTTGCATCCGCGACAGCCATTAGCTGGCCTATAGGCCCACCATTCCGAACCCAAGTCGTTTGATGGGCCTATAATGAAGCATGTGATTGCCTGAAGTGTCACGGACAAGAGTGCAGGGGCGGAGCAAGGGGGGTCTCGAGTTGTTTTTGACACAGTTCGGATGGGACACGATACCACACACAGATACCCAAATTATATTTTATATTCTTTGGAAAATTATACTACAATAGAGGTACAAAAAATAGGGAACGTAATTGTCGAGTACCTTGACTTTCAGATACCCGTTACTATATTTTTTTGGGTGGGAAATAAAGATTTTGATTTTTGGTAAAATTTGAAATTTTTCTCAATAGATTTTTTGCTGTAACTTGGTCAAAAATGGTCCCAAATCAAAAAGGCGTACTGTTTTGAGCAGCTAACAACCTAATAATTACCACCAATAAACTTTCCGTCTGATTTAAAAAAATAAATATTTGACCCAATTTTTGCATTTTTGACAAGGGGTGACTTCATGATTTTTTGCAAAAAATTGCAAAAATTAAAAATTTCCAGGTTTAAATGCAGATCGATTGGGAATTTTATTACGAGTTCAGCAAGGTATGACATTCCATATTTGGATCATTATTTCAATTTTTATGACCAAAAAAATGAGGTTTTAATGGATAGGTCGATTTGAAAATTTTCTTTTACGCTTAAATGTACAACGAAATAATATTTATCTAAGATATTTGTTATTTATTTATCTAAATTCAAGTAAATTAAGTCGTAATCGTAATTAACTCGATTTAAAGTCCAACTGAACAATTAGCTTTCCTTCCCCATTGATTACTGCTAAAATGGTATAGTAATAGCTGGATGGGTAGATCCTACAATGACCACCACAAATGGGCAAGGTGATGTTCGAAATGAAAAAATGAAATTAGGAAACAAAACAAAGCCGAACAAAGCGGTGAAATGGCCATTTCGCACGCTGGGCCATTCATACAAAATATGCCATTTGGGAAGGCATAGGAATCGCCTTGGCATTTGGAATAAATTGCGAATGAATCGAATCCTGAGGCCCCCCAACTGTGAAGGAAGTAGAAGTAGGAAGTGTGTGATGAGCAGAGGAAGTTGGCCGCTGAACCCGAAGAACCCAGTTGACCAACTGACCCATCGACACAGTGGGATGCGCAGCTAAAAAAAAGAAGAGAAACCTGGACTTGGAAAGATTAGGACAGGCAGTCGGAAAACCCATTTGTCAAGTAAACGGGGCGCTACTCACGGATCCTCACAGCTGCACAAAAGATACAGATACACGAACACAGATGCAGGATGCCGATACAGATCCTTACCTTTCATCTCTTTTTATTAGTCAATGAGTCGGTGAATGATCCAACCTCTTCTGAAGTTATAGAAATATAAGGTGGATAAATAGGAAGTCAGTTTCCAAGTAAAGTGTGTGTGTAAATGTAGTTATAATGCTTAAAGTTAAAAGATGAACTATATAAAATATAAGCACATCTAATTTAATATATAACGCTATAAGGATTTTTTTACCCTAAGATCTTCTCTCCTCGCATCACTAATTTGAAATATAAAAGTATTTTATAACCCCTAATAACACCCAATACCAAATATTCACTAACATAAAGAAAAACAGCTAAAGGATACTACTGATTTCCCCTAAGCTGACTTAAGCCACTGATGGATTGCTCTTGCAACTTCTTCTCAGCGAAAGAAATCGACTTGGGATTGACTTCTGAATGCAAATCTCCTACTTTCGATCATTAGGGATCACGAGCCACCCTAAAAGCG